TAAATATAGAGAAGATAAGTACGTACAAAACGGACTTATCAGGACCCTAAGGAACCATGAACGCTTAAGCAGGATTGACGGGGTCTTGGGCATCCGGCCGATCCCACCCTATTCATTTGCCGAGCCGCAACCATGCAAAGTCGGGGAACGTCCCTTGACATTCCTACTTGTCTACTCGGGCCATGGGTGGTTCGGCTCGTCCTTATGGGGATTTTCCCTTAAGAGAAAAATATGCCCACGTCCCCTGAGGCGACTTAACCTCATGGGACCCTAAGAAGCTACAAATGCTTATGCGGGAATGAGGGGGTCTTGGCCATCCGGCCGACCGTGCCCTTTTAATTCACCGAGCCACAACCATGCCAAGTCAGGGAGCGTCCCTTGACATTCCTTCTGGTCTGGTCGAGCTATGGGTGGCTGGCCTCATCCTTAAGGGGATTTTACCTTAAGAAAAATATGCCGAAGTCCCCTCAGGCAACTTAACCTTATGGGACCCTAAATAGCCACGAATGCTAATGGGAGGGTCTTGACCATCCGGCTGACTATGCCTTTTCAATCGCGGAGCCGCAACCTTGCCAAGTTGCGGAACATCCCTTGACATTCCTACTTGTCAGGTCTAGCTATAGGTGGTTCGGCTCGTCCTTAGGAGGATTTTCCCCCACACAAAAAACCGCCCAAGTCCCCTGAGGCGACTTAACCTCATGGGACCCTAAGGAGCAACAAACGCTTTAGCGTGAATGAGGGGGTCTTGGCCATCCGACCAACTGTGCCTTTTTCTTTTGCTGAGCCGCAAACATGCCAAGTCGGGGAATGTCCCTTGACATTCCTACTTATCAGCTCGGGCTATGGGTGGTTCGACTCGTCCTTAGGGGGGATTTTCACTTTAAAAAAATATGCTAGAGTCTCTTGAGGCGACTTAACCTCATGGGACCCTAAGCAGCAACGAACGCTTAAGCGGGATTAAGGGGGTGTTGGCCATCCGGCCGACCGGACCCTTTTCATTCATTGAGCTGTAAGCATGCCAAGTCGGGTAATGTCCCTTAACCTTTTTACTTGCCAGGTCGGGCTATGGGTGGTTTGCCTCGTCCTTAGAAGGAATTTCCCTTAAGAAAAATATGCCCAAGTCCCATGAGGCGACTTAACCTTATGGTACCCTAAGGAGCCACGAATTCTAATGAGAGCGTCTTGACCATCCGGCCGACCGCGCCCTATTCATTCGCTGAGCCGCAACCATTCCAAGTCGGGGAACATCCCTTGACACTCCTACTTGTCAAGTCTGACAATGGGTGGTTCGGCTCCTCCTTAGGGGGATTTTCCCTTACAAAAAATATGCCGAAGTCCCCTGAGGAGTCTTAACCTCATGGGACCCGAAGGAGCCACGAATGCTTAAGCTGGAAAGAGGAGGTCTTAGCCATCCGGACGACCATGTCCTTTTCATTCTTTGAGCCGAAACCATGCCAAGTTGGGGACGTCCCTTGACATTCCTACTTATTAGGTCAGGCTATGGGTGGTTCAGCTCGGCCTTAGGGGGATTTTCCCTTACAAAAAAATACGCCCAAGTCCCTTGATGTGACTTAACCTCATGGGACCTGATGATTGAGTTTTTCGGTAAGTCAACCTTCCCAATGAAGGGTTAGTTTTCTCCTAGTGTCGTGTCTCTCGAAGAGTGGATGAAGGGAATTAATTAATTTTTATAACTAGCCAAAGGTTTGGACAGGTCTGAAAGTCTTCTCGATTTGATTTAATAAAAATAAACTAAACTACCGGGTGCTTTTGAGAAAAAGAAAATAAATAGTACGGGTATAGCACTAGACTTCAGGCCAAGGAATCATGTGAGTTAACTACTGTTGTCACATATTTAATCAATAATTGGAATAATAATATTTCTGTCACAAAAATTTCATTAACTTATCCTCTCTCAAGGCAGCATTAATGTGTTCTAAATAGTTTGGCTTAATTAATTTTATATCCTCATAGACAAGGCAAAAACTAATTTCCCATTATTAATTAATTTTTCTCTCGACATAATTAATTAATTTAACAATAAAAATAATTCTAGAACAATTATTCCAACTATTAAATAAACATGCAGAGTATATACCCAAATTTAGGCAAGACCCTAATCTGGGCCCTAACCCATACTAGATATCAAAAGTGCATAAAAGAAACGAACATTTTATTAAAATTGCAAGTATTTAAACTTACAACAGAGAGCAGAGTTGGAGCCACTTTGGGACAACTGGAACAAAACTAAATTAAAATATAAATGAGAAAAGAGCGGAAAATGGAGTTCCGGACCTTAAAGACCCGGATTGGAGCTTGGTAAGNATTCCAACTATTAAATAAACATGCAGAGTATATACCCAAATTTAGGCAAGACCCTAATCTGGGCCCTAACCCATACTAGATATCAAAAGTGCATAAAAGAAACGAACATTTTATTAAAATTGCAAGTATTTAAACTTACAACAGAGAGCAGAGTTGGAGCCACTTTGGGACAACTGGAACAAAACTAAATTAAAATATAAATGAGAAAAGAGCGGAAAATGGAGTTCCGGACCTTAAAGACCCGGATTGGAGCTTGGTAAGAATGAACGGGCGAAGCCCTCCTTTTATAGGATAAAATTTTGGTCCAAGCCTCTGACAGGCGTGGGCCTGAGGTCCAGGCGGGGGCCTATCTGAGGCCTGGGCTTGTCAGCCCATTCGTCAGCAGTTACGTAGGTCCAGGCATGGGACTGAGCTCCAGGTGCACGCCTGGATTGAAGTGGAAATGGCTGCGAATCTGGCGATGGAAATCATGAGACTTGGCTTCTTTCTTTCCTTTTTTTTTGTTCTTTTTTTATGATTGGTTTTATGTGATGATGATGGGAATGACGACCAGCCCACTTGCTTTTCTTCTCTTTGCTACTGCGGCCACAGTTGGCTGGCCAGCCAGGTCGCGCCACGTGGCAGCACTTGGTTGGTCGGATTTTGACCCGGTTCGAAAATATTTTCTAAAAAAACTTTCTTAATCAAAATTTTATTCTGAACAACTTTTCCTTCTGCGCCGACTTTAAATTCTGAACCAATTTGGGTCAAAAAAATTAATTTTGAATTAATTCAAGCTTATTCTTTCCAAAGAATTTCTTTTTGGTGCTTTTTCAATCCGTTTGACCTCAAATCTTTTGACGGGGTGCCCTCCAACATTTGAATGCACATT